TTAGCACTGGCAGTATCGTTCTTGGGTAAAATAATTAATGTGTCCATAATCCTGCCCAAATATCTGTAGCTTATAGTGATGGGATAATAACTGTTGAGAGTTCATGTTTTTTGAGTGACTGATCTGAGAAGAGGAATAGAGTCACATCTAGAAATGTGACAACCTGGATCATATGGAAACCTGTCTCTAGAATTCAGACAAGTTAACTTGTCTCATCTCTCAAATGCTACTTTTGCTGCACCAGACACAGGCGTGTACAACGCTTTCTTCAGACATATAAATTCAGCTTATTGATTTCTTTTGTCAGCACAATGTTTTATATTGTAACCAAATTAGCACACTGTACTTCAAGCAACCTTGCTATCTTCAAAAATTAGGCAGTCATCTTTACCTGGACAAAATTATTTTACACATGCCCTTGTCATTATTCAGTTCCAGAAACTATGTGGAGAATTATCCTCCCTACACAAAATCTGTGAGTCTCTTCTTAGAAGCTGAATAATTTCAAGATTGTTTAAGTTTCTCTAGCAGAAAGGAGACTTCTTATTTAAAGTGACTTGAAACAGAGTGGAATCAATGGTTTTGCCTCTCTCATAAAATGTTTATCCAAAAAGATAGTAATTTTAGATCTTTATGAAAGTCTCTATGAGATGTTAAGAACTTGAAATGTAATAGTGGTGTAAACATTTATGAAACTCTTTTGTTTATTGTGCATCATTTCCTCACCACAATAATGCTGTTGTTCACTGTTGTATAATTTATCTTAGTGCCACTTTAATTGTGTTTTCCGTTTTCATAGGAAAGCATCCTATTTGGGATAATTACTCACTTTGGAGATGATCAGCAATTTGGTCCATGAGCACCTCTGAAAATTACACTGTCTGCAGAAGGCATTTTCCTGCATGGGCAACATACTGTGCTAGAAAGAAGAGGTATTTTGTCTTTTCTCTTTTCCTTTCATCTCTCCATTCCTGTCCCCCAAAATATTTGATATTTGCTCTAGGACATGCCCATTTCCTTAGAGCTCTTCACCAGTTATTTCCAGACATATGATCTCTCCATGCTTTTTTAGTGTTTGTTTGTTTTTGTTTTTTTGTTTTTGTTTTTGTAACTGTTCCATTACCATAAGTTCCCCTAAAATTCTCAGTTAATTTTAAGGTGCTCTCTTAACACTTCAGTTTCTGTAAGACACGTAAGCAAATCCAGCTGGATCTCTTGGCAACCTGGGTGTCCATAGGAAAACATGTATTTCAGTATAAATATCCATTATCAAATCATCACCAAGATTTCAGTTCTATATTTAATTACATTTGCATTGAACGTGCTATCATCAATCAATCTAAAAATAAAGTAATCTTTGCAAAACCACCATGGAGACGTTTTTTTGACGAGTTCAGTCACAGCAAGTTTACAGATCCTCAGTTCTTCTAAACTGACTCAAGTGCAGTGATGAGAGCTTAAAATGGTTCTGTTGCCAGAGCCTAATTCTGCCACTTTTATTCATGTGAGCGGATAGACTACTGTATAAACAATCTCACTGAGCAAAACAAGTAAGGAACATGGGGGAAAATTAATTCTTGCTGTTTTTTTGCTAACTTCACAGTAGTAAATCTTTGTGGGAGAAAAGCTGCATATGATAGCACAGTTGTGAAAGCTAGAGCCTACTGTGTGAAAGACAGGGAACTTACAGATGTATCCACTTCGATTCTGTGTGTGGTATCCCCAAAAGATCTAAGGTACTAATCAAACATGTGTGTAACATTAGAAAATATTTTCCCTTCTTTTCCCCTGATATACTTCTGGCAAGACTTTCCACTCACTAGAGCTGCATTTTAATTGCTTTGAGAACCTATCAAAGTTGACTTCCTCACCTTTGAAATAATTGCCCCAGCAGAATGATTATTATACCTCCTGATGCTGCACCTCTTACCAGTTCACATAGGATAATCACTGTAGTTTATTTCTGGTCTTACTTTTAAAACTTACATAGCATGAAAATTTGTTTGTTTTCTGTCAGCATATTTGTTATACATGTGATATTATCCAGAAATCATGTTTTCTAATTCCCTAGTCTTAAGTACAGCCATTAAACTCCATCTCACGCTTCCCCCCAGCAAACAGCACACTCTTTAAAGAAAAATATGGTTAGCCAAAGAATGGCAAATACTTACAGGTGTGTTGTTATTGATACCAATTAGTGTTTTACAGCACTTGGAAAAGCTTATCTTTTGGCTCATGTAATGCATGGTCATGAACACCAAGAGTCACATAGATACAGCTGGCAGAAAATTGAGCCCTATTTCCAATCCCTGTTTGCGTGACCTCAAAGGGATTTGCTGTTGTGGTTCACTATGAGACACTTTTTTACAGATCTTTCTTCTGTAACAAATGAGTTGTTCCATAAGCAGCAGGAACAATGAAGCCCTGCATACTTATCTACTTTGTCCCTTCCTCTCCTCTCCTCCCTTCTCTGTCCTTCCACTGAGTGGTTTCAGGATCTCCATATACCTTTTAGGTGATATATGTGACCGAGTCCTTTGAGATACATGTCTACTGGTGAGCAAACCAGAGCAGCAAAGAGCATGTTCCTCTTTTCCTAGAGAAGCTGGACTGAAAACAGACTTCTCCAAATGCTGTAGCAATGGGGCATGGACAGTCTACATGGTGGGCTCTGCTGATTGCTGCAGACAAGTGATTAGGCAGACTTCTCAGGGTAAGGAATCCTGTTTGGAAGCAGAGCATCCTCATTCCACTTCAAAAGAGCAAGAACTAGTCACTCAGATCTGACATTGGTGAAATTTTTGTCATAATCAGGATTTAAAATAAGCAAATTGGGATAGTGGCATTCTTTCTATTATGTTTAGTTCTTGTGGAGCAAGAAACTTCCTACTTCCTTCTGTATTGTGTGGTGGTGGGGCATCTGCTGTACATGGGTGTCATTCCTTGCACCTGTGCACCTCTGCAGATCAAGGTGCTTCTGGCCTTAACTAAAGCAGACTGTAATAGGTGTTAAGGTATGTGTACACGTTATTTGATTTTATGTATTAACACTGTTTATATTTTCTCCATTTATTCCACTTTTGCTGGATGGAAATGCTCCAAAACATTAAAACCAAACATAAATTTGATAAATTTGGCATCCTATCCACTTCATAGTGAAGGCTTCTTGTGTTTTGTTCCAATAAGGTCCATATTTCTTTTCAAGGTTTTTATCTAATATTTGTTCTAATCATCTTTCTGTATTAACTTATTAATGATGTCTATTTATGCAGTTGGGTACTAGGGCTGATGGAAACTTCTTACCTGGGAAAACTCCTTCACCAAAAACTTCCTCTGTTGTGCTTTCCCGAACTTACACTGAAGGCCCCTGCCAAAGGTTCCTGCAATCAAACAGTTCTCATGACATTCAGGAGCAAAGCAGCTTCTAAGTATAAATCCAGTTCTTACCCATAAACTTTTGCTGAAGCTGCCATGTTTTGGATTTCTAGAACTCTATGAGGAACAACAGTTCAATTCCCACTTCTTTTTCTAGTAGGTTACAAAAATCTTTAGTTTCAGAGCGGGGCCATGTGGTGTGTAGACGAGCAATACGGTTCTGATTTACGTCGTGCAGATTAACCAGCCAAAGGCATGAAGCTCCCTGCCTCCCCTCTACCAACATTTTCTCCAGTGTCCTAAAACATCATCCTCTGGGGAAAGACTTTGGGTTGAATCACCTATCTTGTTCTTCCCACAAAGTTCAGACTCCATAATTTCTTATTCCTATATTTCATAGTTTTGTAAGACTACTGTGCAGAGAGTCAAGTGAAAGATACCCATCATGTCATTCATATCAGTTTGCTGCAAAAGGGACTTCATATCTCCCTCCCCCTCCCCAAATCCTCTTGAAAAGGGCAAAGGAAGGGTTGGGAAAAATATTAGTGATGTGTTAATTTGGGTTGATCCTTTATTAACTACTGTCACCGCTGCTTCACATTAATACAGATCCACTTCCATCTCCTTCCATGTATCATACAGGTGGTAAGGTGACAGATTTATGGAAGCTGCTTTTTGGAGACTATAGTTTAATTAACACCCTCAAAAAAAAAAAAAAAACCAAAAAAAATCCCTCTTCAAAGTTAAGCCGGACAAAAAGCCACCTCTTTATTCATGCTGTGGCTTGGTTTTTTTTCCTTACAATGCAAGATCCTCAGCGACCGAGGCATCAAAACGGTAAGCAATTTATTTTTTATCGGTTTTATTTCACGCAGCCCTGAATAGCAGAGGTATTTTTCCCCTCTGGACTAATAACAGGAGCCCAACCAAGTGAATTCTTAGACAGCTGAATGAACAGGCATAAACCCGCCGGGGGATTAGTTACAGTCGCACCCCTACGCGGCGGTCCCGCTTCCCACGGGCGCTGCCGCGCGTTACCGCCCGCGGGCGGAGCGGGGCACCGGGAAGGCTGCGGGCCGGCCGCTCCCGAAGGCAAAGGGAATGCCAGGGACACTCCAAGTCCCCGGACGCGTCTCCCCTTTGCGCGTGCAGCCGAAGCGCCGCTCCCGGTCTCTCCCGGCCCGGGATGCTGGGGTCTTCCCGGCGGGATTCTCCGCCAAAGCCGCCGCCTCTCCGGTGTAGGCTGTGTCCTCTCAGCGGGCTCCGAGGGGCCGCGGTGGCGAGGCGGTGGGGGAGCTGCCTTACCCCGCCGGGGGCTGCGGGCGGGCGGGCATGCAGGGGAGGGATGCAATGGGGGGGATGCAGGGAGGGATGCAGGGAGGGATGCAGGAAGGGATGCAGGAGGGGATGCAGGGAGGGATGCAGAGAAGGATGCTCCGAGCCTGCTGCCGCCTCTGAGAGCGGCGGAGGAATCTCGGCGCTGCCGCCCGTCGGTGTGGTGGAGCAGAGAGTGCGGCGGAGGGATCGGGCGGTCCCGCCGAGCGCCCGCCCCCTGCGCGGCGGCGCGGCCCCGCCGATATAGCGCGGCGCGGGGAGGCGCGGCCGTCACTTGGCGAGCGGCGCTCCGCGGGTGCGGGGCTGCGCGGGCGGCGGCAGCGGCAGGGTTTGGCTGGGCTGGCCGAGCATCCTCCAACTTGGAACTGTCCACCGGCGCGAGCTCCTGAACATGAGCCTCCTGCCTCTCTACCTGCTCGGATTGCTCCTCAGTGGCGGGCAAGGTAGGAGCGGGGCCGCCTTTTGCCGCCTTCTTCTTCTTCTTTTCATTTTTTTTTTCCTAAATTAATTATTATTCTTACCTGTGCTGTCCGCTCGCTCAGATTAACGGCAAAGAAATGGAGAAAAAAATAAAGCAATGCATTATCCTGGAACCAAATTAAGAAGGACCTAAAACTTGTTTCGTCGCCCACCTTTTTTTAAGTCTTCAAGAGGTGTCATTTATGAGGAAAAAGAGGAAAAAAAAAAAAGCTGGAAGGTGCTAAGTGTACTTAGCTGCTTTGCATGGGGTTTCGCCCCTTTTTTTTTTTTTTTTGCGTGATAAATGTGGGAGGGAGACGGAGCGACTCAAAAAAATGTATCTTCCAGGGACCGTGCCTTAAAATCTGCATCCGCTCTCGGGGAAGGTAGCGCGGGCTCCGTTTTTAGGAGCAGGGAGAAGTGCTGGCGGTAGAGCCCGTGAGAAACCTGACCTGAAGTCTGCCTGTCGGGGTTCCTCCTCTCCCGAAGACCCTTCCCGGCGCTCTGCCGGGACACCGAGCCCCCCGGCGCGGGGCTGGGCGGTGACAGGGCTGTGCGCGGGTGCGGAGCCCTTGTGCCGCGGGGGCAGGGGTGTGCGGGGACAGAGCGCGCTGGGCTGGCGCCTCCGGGCACGGTTCGCTCTTTGCATATGTATGTGCGTCTATATATGCGTGTGTGTGTGTGTGTGTACAACGCGGACTCGGGGATTGCGCTGCAGCCGTGCGTTTTGGGCTTTTTTTGGGGGGGGAGGGCTGAAACATCTATATATCTATTCATTTATTTGCCTTTTTTTTTTTTTTTTGGATGTCCCCTGCGCGACTACTTGCGGATTTGTGCTCCTCGAGGAGACGGGGCGGGGAAGGGCCGTCGGGAGGGGCACAGCCCCTCGGTGAGGGATGACCACCGCCGTGTTCGGAAAACTGTTCGGGCAAGTTCCCGGCGCCCGCGCGGGGCTGCCCCTGGCCCCGCTCCCCCCGCGCCAGGTGCCCGGTGCGAGGCTGATTCGCCGCACCTGAGGGGGTGGGCGGCGGCCCGCCTTCCTAAGGAGGTTCTAGGGGAGAAGTAAAACCCGCCCGAACCCCCAGCTGGGTGCCAGCGGGACCGGCCCCGGGCCGCGGTGCCGCCGCAGGGCGCCAGAGGGCGGCAGAGCTCCACGGCCGCGCCGGGCAGCGCCCGGGACGGGGCGCGGCGGGACCGGGGATGGGTGGGAGGGAGCTGGATTGGTCACTCGGGGGATGGATGGGTCACCCGGGGGCTGGTTGTGTTACCCAGAGGCTGCACGTGTCACCCAGGCCCTACACGGTGTCTTGGGAAGGGGCAGAGAGATCTGTTGCGCTTGAGGAAGGGGCGGGGGTTATGCCTTGAGGTATTAAGGCTGCAGCTGTGAAGGTGGCCTTCGGTGTATTCATAGCTGAAGCTCGCACCGCCCAGGTGTTTTCTCTCGTTGATAAGTAGCAAGGAGACACCAGATGCTCTCAGTTTCTCTAGAAACGCTTCCGTGCTTTTGCCACCCCGGGATGCGCTCCGAAGAGTCTCCCGGTGAGCAGCCATCCAGAAACAAGGTCCGGAGGCTTTCCAGCACAGCCAGGGCTGGGATGGCAGAGGAGGGAACGGGAAAGCTTCCTCCAGGCTTTGCATTGATCTACCTCGGTGTAATAATGTGCGTAGAGATGTGCTCTGTGCCTCCTCCAACGTTGGAAAGCTACTTCGTGAAGTGTGATCGCTGCAGTGTAGGAGGATTGCATAGTTTTGGTATCTTACTATCACAAATGTTAGGAGATAAACAATGGAGTGAAATTATGTTAAGCCGAATTTTAAAAATTATAGGAGGGTAGATATGAGGGGGGATGAAAAGAAGAGGAGGAAATCTGAATAAATCCTGTATTGATAATAAGTTGCTATTGCTCTCAATGTAAAGAAGCAGCTTAATTTATTTTTTTTTAACTAGAGGGAATGGATTGTACTGGCAGGGGAAGAATGAGATTCTTTAACTGGCTGTAGAAAAAGCAGAAACATGCAGCTTTGATCCACAGCAGGGCATAGTAAATGGGAGTGGGAGAACATCTGCATATGGAAAATATCCACATTTAGGTTGCTAGGAGAGAGGAAAAACCTACAGTGATGTGTGGGGGGGGGTTTAATAATTTTAATAAGTGTGATCATGGTGAGGGACTTACTGTATATATTTTTTTTTTTATTTTCAACACATCCTTGAAGTAATCTAGAGAACTAAGCGAATCAAGTAATTTGAGGCTATTCTTAAAACTCTTGGGATTTATCTTTTTTTGTGGGAATGCAGTAGTGGGGAACACTTACATCATCAACTGGAGATTGTGGTGTTTGTGAGGGTTATTTTGTTGGTTTGTTTTTAAGAAAAGCATTATTATGCAAATATTAAGTGATGATTATGACTTTTTTGATGTTAAATAGAAATAGTGTGGATCATCAGGAAAAAGCCAGAAACTAGATTTGGCTCATTTGCTTTGGAAACATCCATAGTCTTAGGCTGAGGATTTATATTTTGAAGAATGGAGCTGCAGTAGATTTTATGAAGAATGGCTGAAGCTTTTTCTTTGGGAAGTGCTGGTGTTCAGGATTGGAAAGAGGGAACGGTGCTGTATTTGTTCCATTCCAGAAAATCAGAGCAGTTTGAAAACAAGTAGCATACAGCCACCCCCTCCCCCAGCCCCTTAAGTTAAGAGCTTATGAATGTCATAATTATCAGCCAGGGCCAAATTTTCCCTTTCCTAATTTCATGGCAAGGGAGGACTTTAACTGACGATGTTATTACGCTGAAACAAAAGTATTTTTTTCCTGAACCTTTCAAAGCTGTCCAGACAATTCCGCCAGTTTGAAGGCTGAAATTTAATTAGCTTTGCTTTGATTAAAAAAAAAAACAAAACACACATAGATGCACCACCACCCCCCTGTACCCCAAACCAACAAAAAAAATCATGCTCCACTTTCTAAATCTGTCTTTTAAGACATGTAGTGATACAACACTCAAAAGGAAAAGCTTCATTGGTTTTTACCAGTGTCTGGGGACACTGACTAAAAGTGGATGAAATGGACATCTTCCCAGATTTCAGAATCCTATTTCTTTTATCACTCTGCATAATATACATTTCTTTATGTTAGCAAATTTTGGTGGTAGAAAATGTTTTGCTTGTAGAATTTAAGCTATTTTGTGCTCATCCAGGAGATTCAGAGGAGTGAGTACTTGTTCGGTCATTGTGCTTCAAGTTTCCTCTTTTCACTGCTTTGATACTGAGCTGCTTCTTGTTTTTCCTGAAGAGTTGCTCTTTACAAGTGCTTATAAGGGACTGTTTGTTAATAAGGAACATCCCCCAAGGGAGATGCCAGCCTGTGTGTCTTACTCACCACAGTGCAGTCTGGAATCCTGCCTCTTTCTACTTTTTTGCATACTGAATCCATGAAATTTGGAATTTCTGAAATCAGTGAGTTTCTCCACCGGATTAAGTGGAACTAATATTTTACTCTGATTGCATACTGAAATCTGAAACATATCCTGAGACTTGAACTAGCCATTAATTTCTGGTACAGTTGATTTATACAACTGCATTAAGATACATCTACTCTCTTCCTTTCTCCTTTTCAAAAGAACAAACCCTTCCAAAACGAACAAACTAATCAGACAAAAAATGAATGCTTGATTTTTCTGTTTTAGGCTATGTTACTCCTCTTCAGATGAATATGAGATTCAAAATATCTGCCTGAAAATAAACCTTGACTGATGAGGTATTCTGAAAGACTGACTTAAGAATAGATAGTTGAGACATAATGTAGAGATCTTTGTTTCATGCAGTCCCAGTCAAAATGGAGTTAGAGATATTTTTATCATTTGCAATGGCTCTAAATCATGAAATATATGAATGATAAAGGCATAGATATAAAGCTTTAAAGTCTTTTCTAAGAGGTTGAATAGCATAATTTGGACCTGTTCTCTTACAGCACAACACATATTTATTTAGTTAACTAATTTTTTTTATCTATGGAAATGTTACTGGATTGTTAGGTTGAATTTATGTAGGATTTACCTTTCATGGCCACCTTCTACAACAAGTATATTGAGAACAAATACTGTATTTGTTTGCCCTTTCATTGACCTTTACTTTGAGACACCTTTTCCAAGTGATTCATGTTTACTTACTGATTTTCTTTCAATTTACTCTAGTAATCCTCCAGTTACATTCAGCACACGCCATTTGATTCCAGCAGAATTGAGTCAAGTTAATATGACATTTTGGGAAACACGTTTTAAGTACACTAATTTGTGTCTGGGAGTTGAAAATTTATTTGTGAAAGAGTGGTATATAGACTTCTTCAGGTAAAGAATTTGGATCATATCTGGTATTCATATTTTAAATAGTTTATATCAAGTAATGTCAGATGTCTTATTTAGTTTTTTGTTTGTCTTTTTAGCACTCATATTTGCTTTGTAATATAAGGGCAATATACTTGATAAAGTGTATCCCGAAGTTCTACGTGTCACAGGTCATTTGAATCTTATTTTTGATGTCTCTTGTAATTCAGAAATAGCAGAGATGGGAGGTAAAACTTGCTTGTATCCTGACATACCCAAATCTGGAGGCTCTGATAGACTAGTTCCAGGCCTATTGGTATCTGTTGTATCTTATCATTACTTTTTATTTTGACCTAAGCAATTAATCATGACCTAACTCTGACCTAGTAATTAGGTTCCCCCCTTAGTGTATTTAATTGCTTTCTAGTTTGGGTATTTAAGTAGAATATTCAATTTTTGTTAACTAGTTTAAATCAGAATAATTTTTAATATTAAATAGACCATTCAGAGCACTACTTGCTGTTACCTCAAGAATCTCTGGATGTCCAGCTTCAGTGAAATAAATCTGCATTCTTTAGTAAAATCTTTTTTATTGCTTTTGTAGCTCCATTTCTCTTAATACTGTGCTTGTATGGATTTGTATGTCTTTTTAAAAGATAT